GCAGCATGGTGGCTGTAGCATGGTGGCTGTAGCAGTATGGTGGCTGCAGCAGCATGGTGGCTGCAGCAGTATGGTGGCTGTTGCAGCATGGTGGTAGCAGCATGGTGGCTGTAGCAGCATGGTGGCTGCTGCAGCATGGTGGCTGTAGCAGCATGGTGGCTGTCAGCAGTATGGTGGCTGTAGCAGCATGGCGGCTGCAGCATGGTGGCTGTAGCAGCATGGTGGCTGTAGCAGCATGGTGGCTGTAGCAGCATGGTGGCCGTAGCAGTATGGTGGCTGTTGCAGTATGGGTGTGGGTGTAGGAGTGATGGGGGTTGTAGCAGCATGGGTGGCTGTAGCAGCATGGTGGTTGTTGGGGAGCATGGTGGTGGTGTTGGTGGCAGTATGGTGGCTGTTGTTGCGGCATTCCAGCAGCATGGCGGCTGCAGCAGTTGCGGTGTTCATTAGCATGGTGGTCAGAAAGCAGCATGGTGTATTGCAGCAGCATGGCGGCTGTAGCAGCATGGCGCAGCAGTATGGTTGCGGTAGCAGCATGGTATTGTCAGTAGTATGGCGGCCGTGTGTGGTCGGCTGTCGCTGCTGGTGGATGTAAGATCATTGCGCTCGCAGTATGGCGTTGCAGCAGCATGGCGGCTGTAGCAGTATGGCTGTTGAAGGAGCTGGCTGCCGGCAGCTGGCGGTTGCAGCAGCATGGTGGCTGTAGCAGGATGGTTGGTAGAGTGGTACGGTAGCGGTTGGTGGCTGCAGCAGCATGGCGTTTGTCTGGCGGCAGTGGTGGCTGTGGAGCGGCATGGCGGTCATGGCGCATGGCGGTGGTGGCGTATGCAGGCATGGCTGCTGGAAGCATGGTGGTTTGGCTGAGGCATGGGGCGTTTGCAGTTTACGGCGGCGTGTTGCTAGTGCGCATTGGCGCATTGTAGCGGCATGGCTACTGTGGGGATGGCTGTCGGTGCGCGTTTTGTGGTGCAGCGAGTTGAGGCGTAGGCAGTGTTGTGGCTTAAATTCATGTTGGGGCTGCAGCAGTATGGCGGTCGTGGGCTGGCGGCCGGTGTTTTGTGGCTCTGTGGTTGTTATTGGGGTGCACAGCATGGTTGCTGCAGCAGCATGGCTACTGCAGCAGCATGGCGTATTGTTGCAGCACGGCGGTCGCAGTTGTTGCGGCTACGCAGCTGGTTGGCAGTACGGCGCATCGCAGCTGTGGCATTGCAGCTGTTGCTTCTGCAGCAGCTGGTATGGCGGCCGCAGCAGCATGGCTTAGCGCAGGTGTTAGGCTGTAGTTGTTATGGTGTTGCAGCAGCTTGCTGGATGGCATGGCGGCCGGGCAGCATGGCGTATCGTGGTTGGCGTTGTTGTGTAGCGGAGGCCAGCATTGGTTGCGCAGCATAGCACGGCGGCTTCGCGTTACGTTTGCGTCTGTCTTAGCACGGCGGCTGCGGTTAATGGCGGATCGAGTTGTTATGGCGGTCGTGCAGTTATGGTACCGAACAGCATGGCGCTCGTTGCCACGGCTACCGCAGCTATAAGGCGTTCAGCAGCTACGGCGGTCGGGAACGCATTGCCACCGTTGTTACGGCGTATGGCAGTACGGTATTGCAGCAGGACGGCTTAGGAGCACGGCGCAGCAGCAGCATGGTGCTGCAGCGCATGTCGTAGCAGCATATACGGCGACTGCCGCGTATGTGCTGCAGCAGCATGGTGGCCGCAGCAGCATGGCGTCAGCAGTATGGTGGCCGTAGCAGCATGGTGCCGTAGCAGTATGGTGGCTGGCAGCAGCATGGGCGCAGCAGCATGGCTACCGTAGTATGGCGGTTGCAGCAGCATGGCGGCTGTAGCAGCATGGTGGCTGTAGCAGCATGGCGGCTGCAGCATATGGGGGCTGCCGCGCATGGTCGGCAGCAGCATGGCGGCCGCAGTAGTGGTAGTTGAAAGCAGGATGGTGGCTATAGCAGCATGTGTGGCAGTAGCAGCTGGGCGTCTGTAGCAGCATGGCGGCTGCAGCAGCATGGCTGCCGTAGCAGCATGGCGGCTGCAGCAGCATGGCGGTTGCTGGCAGCATGGTGGCCGCAGTTAGTGGGTGATCTGCAGCTGTATGGCGGTTGTTGCAGCATGGTGGCCGTAGCAGCATGGTGGCGCGAGCAGCATGTGGTATGGCAGCAGATGGTATTGCAGCAGCATGGTACTGCAGCAGCATGGCTGCAGCAGCATGGCGGCTGTAGCAGCATGGCGACTGCAGCAGTGCGGTTGCCGCAGCATGGGCTGCAGCAGCATGGCGACCGCAGCAGCATGGTGTCTGTAGCAGCATGGCGGCCGCTAGCAGCATGGTGGCCGCAGCAGCATGGCGCGTGGCAGCATGGATTGCAGCAGCATGGTGGTGCAGCAGCATGGTGGCTGTAGCAGCGCGGCACTGTAGCAGCATGGCGGCTGTAGCAGCATGGCGGCTGCAGCAGCATGGCGGCCGGTAGCAGTATGGCGGTCAGGAAGCATGGCTGGCCTCAGCAGCATGGCGGCTGCGCAGCATGGTGGCCGTAGCAGCATTGCGGTTGCATACATGGTGGCTGTAGCAGCATGGCACTGCAGCAGCATGGCGGCTAGCAGCATGGTGGCTGCGCAGCATGGCGTGAAGCAGTATGGTGGCTGAAGCAGCATGGCATTGCAGCAGCTGGCAGCATGTGTATGTGTGTCGGCATGGCGGCATGGCTATCGCAGTTGTTACGGCGTCTGTCAGTACGGCATGGTGTGGTGGTTGCTCGGTATGCAGGGGCTAGCAGTTATGGCTGGCAGCAGCATGGTGTGGCGCATGAAACAGCATGGCGGCTGCAGCAGCATGGCGGCTGTAGCAGCATGGTGGCTGTAGCAGCATGGTGGCTGTAGCAGCATGGTGGCTGCAGCAGCATGGTGCGTAGCAGCATGGCGGCTGTAGCAGCATGGCGACTGTAGCAGCATGGTGGCTGTAGCAGCATGGTGGCTGCAGCAGCATGGCGGCTGTAGCAGCATGGTGGCTGTAGCAGCATGGTGGCTGTAAGCAGCATGGTGGCTGTAGCAGCATGGCGACTGTAGCAGTATGGTGGCTGTAGCAGTATGGTGGTTGTTGCAGCATGGTGGCTGTAGCAGCATGGCGACTGCAGCAGCATGGTGGTTGTAGCAGCATGGCATGCGCGGCAGGGTGGCTGCGCGGTGGCCAGCAGCATGGTGGCTTGCAGCAGCATGGTGGCTGTAGCAGATGGTGGCTGTAGCAGCATGGCGGCTGCAGCAGCATGGTGGCTGTAGCAGCATGGCGGCTGCAGCAGCATGGTGGCTGCAGCAGCATGGTGGCTGGGTGGCCGGCGCATGGTGGCTGTAGCAGCATGGTGGCTGTAGCAGCATGGTGGCTGTAGCAGCATGGCGGCTGTAGCAGTGTGGTGGCTGTAGCAGCATGGTGGCTGTAGCAGCATGGGTGGCTGTAGCAGCATGGTGGCTGTAGCAGTATGGTGGCTGTAGCAGTATGGTGGCTGTAGCAGTATGGTGGTTGCAGCAGTATGGTGACTGTAGCAGGCGTGGTGGCTGTAGCAGCATGGTGGCTGTAGCAGTATGGTGGCTGCAGCAGCATGGTTGCAGCAGTATGGTGGCTGTAGCAGCATGGTGGCTGTAGCAGTATGGTGGCTGTAGCAGTATGGTGGCTGTAGCAGCATGGTGGCTGTAGCAGCATGGTGGCTGTAGCAGTATGGTGGCTGTAGCAGCATGGTGGCTGTAGCAGCATGGTGGCTGTAGCAGCATGGCTGGCTGTAGCAGCATGGTGGCTGTAGCAGCATGGTGGCTGTAGCAGCATGGTGGCTGTTGCAGTATGGCGGCTGTAGCAGCATGGTGGCTGTAGCAGCATGGTGGCTTGCAGTAGCGGTGGCTGTAGCAGCATGGTGGCTGCAGCAGCATGGTGGCTGTAGCAGCATGGTGGCTGTAGCAGATGGTGGCTGCAGCATGGTGGCTATAGCAGTATGGTGGCTGCAGCAGCATGGTGGCTGTAGCAGCATGGTGGCTGTAGCAGTATGGTGGCTGTAGCAGTATGGTGGCTTTAGCAGCATGGTGGCTGTAGATGACTGCTGAGCAGCATGGTGGCTGTAGCAGCATGGTGGCTGTAGCAGCATGGTGGCTGTAGCAGCATGGCGGCTGCAGCAGCATGGTGGCTGCAGGCATGTGGTGGCTGGGCAGATGGTGGCTGCAGCAGCATGGCGGCTTTAGCGTATGGTGGCTGCAGCAGTGTGGCTGTAGCAGTATGGCGGCTGTTGCAGTATGGTGGCTGTAGCAGTATGGTGGCTGTAGCAGTATGGTGGCTGTGTAGCAGCATGGTGACCGCAGGGCTGTAGCAGCATGGTGGCTGCAGCAGTATGGGTGACTGTAGCAGCATGGTGGCTGTAGCAGCATGGTGACTGTAGCAGCATGGTGGCTGCAGCAGGCGGCGGTGGCTGTTGCAGTATGGTGGCTGTGCAGCATGGCGGCTGTAGCAGTATGGTGGCTGTAGCAGCATGGTGCTGTAGCAGCATGCGGCGACAGCAGCATGGTGGCTGTAGCAGTATGGTGGCTGGTAGCAGCATGGTGGCTGCAGCATGGTGGCTGTAGCAGTATGGTGACTGTAGCAGCATGGTGGCTGTAGCAGTATGGTGGCTGTTGCAGTATGGCGGTTGCTGCAGCATGGTGGTTGTAGCAGTATGGTGGCTGTAGCGCAGGGTATGGTATATGGTACAGCAGTTGGCGGATGCTGAAGTTATACGTATGGCAGCAGTATGACAGTATGCAGTCGTGAAGAGATAGAGTTGACGGCGTTGCTGATAGGTATGGCAGCTGTTACGGACGTAGTCTGTGATGTATACGGTATCAGTTAAGCATGGCGGTCGCGTTACAGGTTACCGCAGCCATACGGGCGTTAGCCATGGCGGTATGCAGTTTGGATGAGGTGGCATTTTACGGTATTGCAGTTGGGGTGTCCTGTAAGGCATGCTGTAGCAAGTATGGCAGGTTGCTAAGGCGTGTTACATGGTGGCTGCAGCGTTATGGCGGTTGTAGTTATACGGCGATTGCATACGGCTGGTACTGCAGCAGTATGGCGGTCGGTTGATAACCGCAGTTGCTATGGGCGCAGCAGTAGGACGGTATTGTAGCAGCATGTGAAGCAGCAGCATGGTGGCAGCAGCATGGTGGCTGGGGTAGCAGCATGGCGCTGTAGCAGCATGGCGGCTGCAGCATGGTGGCTGCAGCATGGTATTGCAGCAGCATGGTGGCTGCAGCAGCATGGTGGTTGCAGCAGCATGGGCAAAGGCAGCAGCATGGCGGCGTAGCAGCATGGCACAGCAGCATGGTGGCTGTAGCAGCATGGTGGCTAGGCAGCATGGTGGCTGCAGCATGGTGGTTGTAGCAGCATGGTACTGCAGCAGCATGGCGGTTGCAGCATGGCATGCGCAGCGCATGGCGGCTGTAGCAGCATGGTGGTTGTAGCAGTATGGTGGCTGCAGCAGCATGGCGGCTGTAGCAGCATGGCGGTTGCAGCAGCATGGTGGCTGCAGCAGCATGGCGGCTGCAGCAGCATGGTGGCCGCTGCAGTATGGTGGTTGCAGCAGTATGGCGGCTGAGCAGCATGGTGAGAAGGCGTGGATTGTAGCAGCATGGCGGCTGTAGCAGTATGGGGCATGGTGGCTTGCAGCAGTATGGTGGCTGTTGCGTATGGTGGCCAGCAGTATGGTGGTTGCTGCAGTATGGTGGTTGTAGCAGTATGGTGGCTGTAGCAGTATGGCGGCTGTAGCAGTATGGTGGTTGCAGCAGTATGGTGGCTGTAGCGGTGGCTGTTGCAGTATGGTGCATAGTAGCAGTATGGGGCGTATTGCAGTGTAAGCTGGTATGGATGGTGGCTGTACGCATGCGGCTGTAGCAGTAAGTAGCAGCATGGGGTGCAGCAGTATGGTGGCTGTAGCAGTGTGGTGGCTGGTAGCAGTATGGTGGCTGTAGCAGTATGGCGGCAGCATGGTGATTGCAGCAGCATGGTGGTTGCAGCAGTATGGCGGCTGTAGCAGTATGGGTTGTAGCAGTATGGGCAGCAGGTGCATGCAGCAGCATGGTGGCTGCAGCATGGTGGCTGTTGCAGGTGTGGTGGCTGTAGCAGTATGGCGGCAGCAGCATGGTAGCTGTAGCAGTATGGTGGCTGTAGCATGGTGGTTGTAGCAGTATGGTGGCTGTAGCAGTATGGTGGTTGTAGCAGTATGGTGGCTGTAGCAGTATGGTGGTTGTAGCAGTATGGTAGCTGTAGCAGTATAACGGCTGTAGCAGTATGGTGGCTGCAGCAGTATGGTGGTTGTAGCAGTGTGGTGGCTGTAGCAGCATGGTGACTGTAGCAGTATGGTGGCTGTAGCAGTATGGTGGCTGTAGCAGTATGGTGGCTGTAGCAGTATGGTGGCTGTAGCAGCATGGCGGCTGTAGCAGAACGGCTGTAGCAGTATGGTGGCTGTAGCAGCATGGTGACTGTAGCAGTATGGCGGCTGTAGCAGTATAACCGCTGTAGCAGTATGGTGGTTGTAGCAGTATGGTAGTTGTAGCAGGCGGTGACTGTAGCAGCATGGCGGCTGTAGCAGTATAACGGCTGTAGCAGTATGGTAGCTGTAGCAGTATGGTGGCTGTTGCAGTATGGTGCTGTAGCAGTATGGTGGCTGAAGCATTATGGCGGCTGTAGCAGTATGGTGGCTGTTGCAGCATGGTGGCTGTAGCAGTATGGTGACTAGCAGTATGGCGGCTGTAGCAGCATGGTGGCTGTAGCAGTATGGTGGCTGTAGCAGTATGGTAGTTGTAGCAGTAGGTGACTGTAGCAGTGTGGTGACTGTAGCAGTGTGGTGACTGTAGCAGTGTGGTGACTGTAGCAGTATGGTGGCTGTAGCAGTATGGTGACTGTAGCAGTATGGTGGCTGTAGCAGTATGGTGCCTGAAGCAGTATGGTGGCTGTAGCAGTATGGTGACTGTAGCAGTATGGTGACTGTAGCAGTGTGACTGTAGCAGTGTGGTGACTGTAGCAGTATGGTGACTGTAGCAGTATGGTGACTGTAGCAGTATGGTGACTGTAGCAGTGTGGTGACTGTAGCAGTGTGGTGACTGAGCAGTGTGGTGACTGTAGCAGTATGGTGGTTGCAGCAGTATGGTGGTTGTAGCAGTATGGTGACTGTAGCAGTGTGGTGACTGTAGCAGCATGGTGGCTGTAGCAGCATGGTGGCTGAAGCAGTATGGCGGAGCAGTATGGTGGCTGTTGCAGTATGGTGGCTGTAGCAGTATGGTGACTGTAGCAGTATGGCGGCTGTAGCAGCATAACGGCTGTAGCAGTATGGTGGCTGTAGCAGTATGGTAGTTAGCAGCATGGTGGCTGTAGCAGTATGGTGACTGTAGCAGTATGGTGGCTGTAGCAGTGGCTGTAGCAGTATGGTGGCTGTAGCAGTATGGTGGCTGTAGCAGTATGGCGGCTGTAGCAGTATGGCGGCTGTAGCAGTATGGTGGCTGAAGCAGTATGGCGGCTGTAGCAGTATGGTGGCTGTTGCAGTATGGTGGCTGTAGCAGTATGGTGACTGTAGCAGTATGGCGGCTGTAGCAGTATAACGGCTGTAGCAGTATGGTGGCTGTAGCAGTATGGTAGTTGTAGCAGTATGGTGGCTGTAGCAGTATGGTGACTGTAGCAGTCATGGTGGCTGTAGCAGCATGGTGGCTGTAGCAGTATGGTGGCTGTATATGGTGGCTGTAGCAGTATGGTGGCTGGCAGTATGGTGGCTGTAGCAGTATGGTGGTTAGCAGTATGGTGGCTGTAGCAGTATGGTGGCTGTAGCAGTATGGTGGCTGTAGCAGTATGGTGACTGTAGCAGTATGGTGGCTGTAGCAGTATGGTGCCTGAAGCAGTATGGTGGCTGAGCAGTATGGTGACTGTAGCAGTATGGTGACTGTAGCAGTGTGGTGACTGTAGCAGTGTGGTGACTGTAGCAGTGTGGTGACTGTAGCAGTGTGGTGACTGTAGCAGTGTGGTGACTGTAGCAGTATGGTGGCTGTAGCAGTATGGTGACTGTAGCAGTATGGTGGCTGTAGCAGTATGGTGCCTGAAGCATGGTGGCTGTAGCAGTATGGTGACTGTAGCAGTATGGTGACTGTAGCAGTGTGGTGACTGTAGCAGTGTGGTGACTGTAGCAGTATGGTGACTGTAGCAGCATGGTGACTGTAGCAGTATGGTGACTGTAGCAGTGTGGTGACTGTAGCAGTGTGGTGACTGTAGCAGTGTGGTGACTGTAGCAGTGTGGTGACTGTAGCAGTGTGGTGACTGTAGCAGTATGGTGGCTGTAGCAGTATGGCGGCTGTAGCAGTATGGCGGCTGTAGCAGTATGGCGGCTGTAGCAGTGTGGTGACTGTAGCAGTATGGTGGCTGTAGCGTGTGGTGACTGTAGCAGTATGGTGGCTGTAGCAGTATGGTGACTGTAGCAGTATGGTGACTGTAGCAGTGTGGTGACTGTAGCAGTATGGTGGCTGTAGCAGTGTGGTGACTGTAGCAGTATGGTGGCTGTAGCAGTATGACACGGACACAGTGTTAGGACATCATGTTACCCCTGACGATGACTGCCAGGGTTACAATGTTACATTTGTACAATGTGTTTGGTTCCGGCACAAGGAGAGACAGAATCCCAGCAGGCAGGTCTTATCACCTCAGTACAAGGAGAGACAGAACTCCAGGAGGCAGGTCTTATCACCTCAGTACAAGGAGAGACAGAACTCCAGGAGGCAGGTCTTATCACCTCAGTACAAGGAGAGACAGAACCCCAGCAGGCAGGTCTTATCACCAGTACAAGGAGAGACAGAACCCCAGCAGGCAGGTCTTATCACCTCAGCAAGAGGAGAATCCGGAGGCAGGTCTTATCACCTGTACAAGGAGAGACAGAACCAGGAGGCAGGTCTTATCACCTCAGTACAAGGAGAGACAGAACCCAGCAGGCAGGTCTTATCACCTCAGTACAAGGAGAGACAGAACCCAGCAGGCAGGTCTTATCACCTCAGTACAAGGAGAGACAGAACCCCAGCAGGCAGGTCTTATCACCTCAGTACAAGGAGAGACAGAACCCCAGGAGGCAGGTCTTATCACCTCAGTACAAGGTGAGACAGAACCCCAGCAGGCAGGTCTTACACCAGTACAAGGAGAGACAGAACTCCAGCAGGCAGGTCTTATCACCTCAGTACAAGGAGAGACAGAACCCCAGGAGGCAGGTCTTATCACCTCAGTACAAGGTGAGACAGAAACCCAGCAGGCAGGTCTTTTTACCTCAGTACAAGGTGAGACAGAACCCCAGCAGGCAGGTCTTATCACTCAGTACAAGGTGAGACAGAACCCAGCAGGCAGGTCTTATCACCTCAGTACAAGGAGAGACAGAACCCCAGGAGGCAGGTCTTATCACCTCAGTACAAGAGACAGAACCCCAGCAGGCAGGTCTTATCACCTCAGTACAAGGAGAGACAGACCCCAGGAGGCAGGTCTTATCACCTCAGTACAAGGTGAGACAGAACCCCAGCAGGCAGGTCTTATCACCTCAGTATAAGGAGACAGAATCAAAGCAGGCGGGTCTTATCACCTCAGTATAAGGAGAGACAGAACTCCAGCAGGCAGGTCTTATCACCTCAGTACAGGAGAGACAGAACCCCAGCAGGCAGGTCTTATCACCTCAGTATAAGGAGAGACAGAACTCCAGCAGGCAGGTCTTATCACCTCAGTATAGGAGAGACAGAACTCCAGCAGGCAGGTCTTATCACCTCAGTACAAGGAGAGACAGAACCCCAGCAGGCAGGTCTTATCACCTCAGTACAAGGTGAGACAGAACTCCAGCAGGCAGGTCTTATCACCTCAGTACAAGGAGAGACAGAACCCCAGCAGGAAGGTCTTATCACCTCAGTATAAGGAGACAGAACTCCAGCAGGCAGGGTCCTGACATTCCATGCAGCGACCATAAGAGGTTGTATAATTTGGTTTTGCTTGATCTGTGAAAAAGATTATGTTTTTCACCGTGATAGACTATGTCCCATGTGCGAGCGTCCTGTGGCATCGAGCGACCAGGACCGCGACCTATTTTCTTAAGCGACTGTGTCCTACCTGCTAACGTTTTGCCACCGTAAACATGCCGTCTATGCAGCGTAGACTTTGCTAGCACTTTAGGAATATAATGCTTTTCAACGTGTACAGGAAAAAAACATCCAATATATCAGATGGAAGTAGACGAATTTTAGCATCTCTACAAGAACTTCGCCAAAATCCAAAGAAGGTTCCCGAGTACACCAGAATGTATTCTGATTGGGGACGAGGCTTATCCACTCTGTGCATATTTGTTGGAACCCTATCCAAGGAATGATCTGAACAAAGAAAAAATATTTTTTTATTACAGATTATCACGTGCCAGGCGTGTTGTAGAGTGCATTTGAAATTTGTACAAGTAAATGGATAGTTTAAATAAAGCTACTGAAACAAAAGTAGATACTGTTGTTGACATTGTAAAGTTTGCTACGCTTCCATAATAGC